ATTTAATTATTAAATTTAAGATTTAGCGCCACCATATGAATTAAATTTTATTTTTAGTGGCACAAATATAATTTATATACAACAGATGTCGCTAATTTTATACAAATTTATATATGTGTGTATTTCTGAAATATAGTGATAGAGTAGTAAAATAAAATTAGAACAACGAATAAATTGTGTAAATATAATTTAAATAAAAAAAAAATTTGTTTAATCATAATTTTTATGTTATTATACAACATTCTCTTGATTAAAAGTTCATTTACTTTATTATTTACAACTTTTATTTTGTATAAAAGATAAAATTTTGCGGTAGCAAACATTAACCGTTCAAATCAAAAAATTAATGATCAAAAAATTATCATGTATGAATGTAGACTCTTTGAGTAAAGAATTTGTAAATTATTAGATTAAATAAAATCATGATCGAATTTTCAGTTAAACTTGTATAACAGTTATGCTTAAATTTTGAATTGTTACACGCATTCCTTTTAATAAATGTAATAATTTAATCGTTATGGTTTGGTAGAGTTCTTAGACATCAGTACTCAGTAGTGTTATACGATTGGAATATTATATTCTATCAAGAAGAACTAGCCTATATAAAAGAGTATGATTGGAACGAGAAGTTGTATGATTGAAACGAGACAATGCAGTTGAAACCAGAGATGGCTTTACATTTTTTTATGTATAATAAATATTGTATATTTTGTTTACGATAATTTGAAGTGTTATATTCCTTAAATAGAAATACAGCATTTTTATTCAATTGAATAATTATAAGTTTGGTTAAATTTAGAACAAAATAAAGACGGCAAATAATTTAAGTTTCAAATTAATTTAATTCAAGTCTAGTTAATTACCATATTATATACGAGTATATATATATATACTTATCACATTTTCTTGAAAAATATATTAATCACCAATTTACATGGTATTGATAAAAATTCAAATTGAAAGAAATTATACAATAATATCAATATAACAGTTATTTATGTGTACATGTAGGTATGTATATACATATACACAGTAACCATCCTTACTTTTGATCTTAAATTTTCGAGAAAATAATATTTTATATTATGTACCTATATTATTTGATTTTTTTTTTAATAACCCCTTTCTAAGAAAATATCCTTTAAGATAATTCTCAGATAATTGATATCTTTAATATAAAATAATAAGCGTATTATTATATAATTTCATATTCCTTAAATATACATAAGTACATAATATTGTATAAAAACGAAAATATTTGTAAATAGAAAAGAATAAGAATAAAAATACGAAAAAAAAATAATTTTTTAAAGGAAATTACTTAATTGGCATACTTTAATAATTTAAAAAGGATCTTGATTTATTTTAAATTTAAAAAATATTGAGGTACTTAATTTTTATCTTTAAATTTACTTTAATTTATTTGAAATTTAATATAAATTTTTATTTTAATAATAATAATTTAATTTATTTAAAATTATTTGCTGATAGAAGTATACGCAACATTTTCAAATTCAATTTAGAGAAAAATTAATATAGAAATTTTGGTGTAGAACGATTTCTTCGTGTATGTTTAATCATCCTATATCTTACATCAAAAATTTTGTAAAAAGAATTTGTAGTATATTGTGCTGGTTTTGCTTAGCTATACACATGAAGAGATTACCGAATAAAATATTTAATATTCTTTTGGCCATATTACTATTCACAGTTGCGTATTTAGTTTCCTATTGCAAACAAGCCCTCAATTTATATCATCATATATTTTACTTGAATAATTATACTGAATAATAATACTTTGAATAAATTATTTTAAATTCAGATTAAAATTTTTCTCTTTTAAAAGTTAGTCTTTGTAAACAAAATTTTACAAATATTTTTTACATTTATTGATGTCTATATGAGCTAGAGTCTATATGAGTTAAATGATTTCTAAATAAAAATAAAACTATTATCGATTTCCATTAATTGATTTTCTCTAACATTATTCTCTGCAACATTTTGAGATAAATTTTTATTACTCGTACTAGCCAACCAATTGCATTTTGCCTAAAGAAAAGAATTGATTTTTGATACTCCACATGATTATACAAAAATTGTATTCAACATATCTGTGTTAATTTTGTGGCCTCTCGCGTGATTTATATGGTTGACCTATTGATAAATTTCCTCGTAAATCTATTAAAATCTATTAAAATCTACTAAATTATTAACAAATGTAAAAACGCGGCCATACAAAATTTATATTACATACATATTATAGATAATAAATATATAGAGATTAATGTGTTCTATACGAAATGTATTAAATTTAACGAAATTTGTCACAAAATTTTAAAATATTTTTCTCGAAATATTATTGTTAAGCTGCTTTAAATTGTAAAAGTTCTTATTCATAAGCTGCTTTAAATTTTAAAAGTTCTTATTCATAAGCTGCTTTAAATTTTACAGGCTTGAAAATTTCTGAGAATAATTTTTATTTTTTTGTGAATTAAATCAACATTTCAACTTTTTCCATTTGGGATCTTATTCATCATATATGCCTCAATTAAATTCGAATTTAATGTCGAAATTAAGATCTAGTTAATTTCATTTATATAAAGGTTTCTCTATATTAAAATTTCATTCATTTTTAATAATATTATTTTAGGAAAAATAATTTAATCTCAATAAGTACCTGTATATATACATTTAAAATTGATTAGTATGTTCAATTTTCATAAGATTTTCTTAATTTTCAATAACATTTTCCATCTTTCAATTTAATCTCATTTCATTTCTCCAAAAACAAATTGTATAGTTTAACCCAAAACAATCTTAGAAGAAAAATTAATATTAAAATTTTCATTTTGGACAAATATAAATTACATACATATATACATATTTGTAAATTATTTGAAAGTTTTTTTATCTACAAAATTTATTTTTAGCTTTTCAATTACATTTTTCATAAAGAATTTATATAAAATACCTTTATTATTTATTCTTCATGTCTTACCATTAAAATTATTCATAAAATCAATCAATTTCATTCAAATATATATTAGACGTATATATACGTATATATATTTGTAAATATATTCTAGTAGATATATTGATCTAGATATATTTTTTTTGAAAAAACATGTACAATATTCGAAATTACTTACGTATTTCGTAAATATATTTTGTTTCTTAAACGCACGTGGGCCTAATATACTTACTATACATTGAAAATGATTAAAATTGAAGAAGAGAGAAGAATTTTCTAAATTAATAATCCTGTATACATATACATACATACTCGTATGTATGTAACATAGGAAAGAAATCTAAAAAATAAAAAAAATTTCTTATTTTTAATCGACATTTTTTGTTTTTTTTTTTCATTTTCATTTCAATTCGTATTTTTTTGCTCTTCAAATATTCGCTTGAATTTATATTAAAGATATTGGAAAAAAAAATAAGAAGAAAATGTAGAAAAGGATTTGAAAGAATTTCCAGAAAACCACTTAAGTTGAAATTAATAAAAAAAATAAGAATTCTTTATATGTATGTACGTAATATAAGCGAAGAAAAAAAAAGAAATTAATTAAAAATTTCAACTGAAGCGTTCCTAAAAATTTTTCTTTCTTTTTTTTTTTTCTATAAATTTAAAATTATTTATTCGAAATCATTAATGACATTATAAATTCATATTAAATCATTTTTTTATGCCTATCCGATGGATGGGTTTGCCAAATATATTTAATTATTGCATATACATACATACATAGAGAAATTATAAATAAGCATAATCAGGATTTAAAATCTTTAAATAACAAAAAAAATATAAATAAATAAGAAGAAAAATCTGAAAATTATTTTGGAAAGGAAACGCGTTATTCAAATTTAAATCATGATTAAATTATTTTAGGCACATGTTTTGAAAAAAATTAGATTAAATTTCAATTAATTATTTAAAAAAAAAATATTTCAATATTTTTCAAAATCAATAATTATTTATTAATAAGAAACTTGTATTTCAAGTTTTTTTTTTTAAAATCTTATTAGTCTAAGACTCTAAGCAATTGATTTACTAAATATAGAAAAAATCTGTTTAATTTTGTATTTTATTTTTCAGTGAATTAATTGAGGAATTGGAAAGTTGAATATAATTTTTGGTAGAAGATCTTCGGTAATATTGATAATTTTGTATTTTCCACAAAAACACGAAGAAAATGTATATACAAAGGAAGCTTGCGCTCAAGTGTTCATTTAAAAATTATTTTAGCATGACGCTACAAAATTTTTAACAAAATCAGTTCAACAAACTCCAGTAACTGTTTAATATTTGCAGTCTGTATAATTTTCTTATTAACGGCAGTATACCTTTTATAAAAAATGCATTTTTAATTTTGATTTAATTTGAATTCGAGTCTCGAATTACTTAGAACCATATATGAATGGACAACTTTAAAATTGTTTTAAACTAAAACAATAATTTTAGCAAAAATATTGAATTGTATTAGAAAAACCCAATTACTATGCATTTCTATATTTCTATAGTTTCTTTTTATTATAAGAATAAAATATAATAATTATATGTAGGTTCAAAAATAAAAATTGGAAACTGATGGTGGCAGACGTAATATGGATTTGCTTAACGACATTTTATAGATTTCAGCTAAGTATTCAATATAACAAAAATATTTTATAGACACATCATTAAATTTTATTTTATTTTTAGGGAATTACTTATACAATTAAAAACAAATTTGTTTCAAAATCAACTTATCATCTAATCTGGCAAGTTTAAATGAAGACCGCAGTAAAATTGGAAATATTTAGACTTGATATAGTCCAAATGCATGTAAAATTATGTGGATTTTGAACAAAATTAAGGAAAATTCATAAAATAATATTAATTATAGTGATTTTAGTTAATATTCCAAAGATTTAATACAAAAATTTTGTTTTCATAAAATTAAATTTAACAATATAAAAAAAATATAAAATTTTGAATGTATTTTTTTACTTACGATTAATCTTTTTTATATATATTTTATGTCCAATATAATAGCTAATAATTTTAACAATTAATAAATTTATATTTGTATATTAAAATTTTTATTAATTTTATTATTATATAAAATGATGCTTTAAAAAAGTTAGAAATTATAATTTTTAATTTTAAAATAAGAAAAAATTTATGAAAAATTTTGAAATTTATGCATGAAATTATTTTTATTTAAAAAACTAAAAAACAGCAAGTCTTTCACCAGTACAGATAGTAATTAACATTATTATAATTATATTAAATTCTAATTAATTCACAATTTCAATTTCAAAAAATTAATTAATAGCAAAAAATTATATTAAAAATGCATTATTAAATTATTATTTAAGATCATTTTTCAGAATTTATTAAAAATTTAATTCTTTATTTACATATTATACATTATTTATTATATTATCAATAATAAATTAAATATAATTAATTAAATTTAATAAATAATTATTATATTATACAATATTGTTCTTAAATTTTAATTATTTTATAATTTTTGTTTATATTGTATGAGTATTATGTGAATTTAATAATTTATAAATTATTAATTTAATTTCTTTTCTTATTCTTATATATATATTAAATTATTATAGTTATTTATATAATTGTATAATAATTTAAATGAAAATTATATAATATTAAATAATAATAGAAAAATTAAAATAATTATATTTTTCATCAGGGTGGATAGTAAAGCACTTTAAAAAACATTTTTCTTTAAATCTTTTTTCAAATTTGTATTTATTTATTTTTAATATTTACATTAAATAATTAATATATTATTGTTTAAATACTATGTAAATGCACATTAATTATAAATTTAAAAAATTAGATGTAGGTATATAATTATTAATTTTATAATTTATTAATTTTATATTTATTTATTTTTTTAATATATAAAAAAAATTATTGTATTTATTTTTCATATTTATTTTCTTTAACTTCACATTTATTTCATTGTAATTTTTTTTGTTAATATTAATTGTTATTTTGTTTCATTCTGTTATATTTTTTGTTTAATATTAATATAATTTTTTAAATTTAAATACATAAAGTGAATAAAATGCAAAATTTTAATTATTATCAAATAATAAATTTTGCTTAAATATACTATTATTACAATTTTAAATAAATAAATTACAGTAATTGAAAGAATTTATGATTTTATAACCATTTTATTTTATTAATACTTTTACCGTAGTATTAATTTAATTTAATATAAATATTTAGTGTACAATAAAAATTGAAAATATAGAAACACTGCACAATATACTAATGTCATGAATCCAAAAATTGATTATACACCTTTTTTAATTCAATTATATGAAGCATTAATGCACCTGGTGGCAAGTGTATAAATGAATATTTTAAATAAAATTCAACCTTTTATATACGATAAAATTGTCAATACATTAGAAGTCCAATTGAATTGATTTTATTTAATATACCACCAGTATAACACATAAATGATATATGTTCTATATATTATTTAATTTAATTTGAATTTTTATTATTTACGGATAATTATATTATATGGTACTTATCTACTTATTATTATATTACGACATAGTTATACTCTAAAAAATATAAAACTAATCATTATATAAATGTTCTCTCATTTACAGGCTTGGATATTATAATACAATAAATTTGATTTATTTTAATTAAAAAATTAATTTTATTTTTTAAATTTCTTTTAGATTATTTTTATATTTACAATATTTCCAATAATATATTTTAATTAAATTTTTAAATATACTCATATAATTCGATTGAAATTTTGTTATCTTGCATGTTGATTTCACATATGTATGTCGAGACTCATATGTATAGTACAATATTTAATATACAGGTACCGTAATAATTAAAATATGAACATTATAATAATAATAGTTTATATATGTATAGAAATTTAGTTCTAAAAAATAAATAAAGTTTTTTGTTTATTTTTTTATTTTATGTCGCGTATACATTTAATTCGTATATATATTTAATAATTATAAATTTATATATATATATATATATCATTATTATTATTAAATATATTAAGTATGTGATGAGATGTACCTCTAAACACTATAAGTATATATGTATGTATGTTTTATAAACAAAAATAAATAATAATTTTAGAAGAAAACAAAATAAAAAAATATTTTATTTTTTATCACTTTTATTTAATTTTTATATTTTTTTCTTGTTTTGTATATTTTTTTACTCTCCAAATATTTAGATTCTCTTTCAGTTTATCTTTAATATATTTCAAATATTAAAATATATTCTTTTTTTTTACTTTTAATATTTATATATTGTAAAATGCTTAAAAATATTATATTATGTTATATACTCATGGTATATATTAGTTTATATAAAAAATATATATATTACTTAATATATTTAAAATTTAACATTTGAAAATATTGAGAAATTAAAATTTTAAAGCTGAAATTTTATATAAAAAACTAATTATTTTTCTAAATTCTTTATGTATTATAAATAATTTTTAAGAATATATACGAGTATAAGTATTTTAGTAGCAGAATTTGGATTTGTAAATAATAATATTATATTAATTTTTGTATATATAAACAAAATAATGATATTAATAACCTTTAATATATGTATTTTGTTTTTTAACATAAATTTTTATGCTACTTATAATAGTCACATCTCAATAATAAAGCGTAATGACAATATAACAGTTAAATAAATTATATGTTATTTCTTTTATATAATAATAATAATAATTAAAATATTATTAAAAAATTAAATATTTCATTAAAAAATTATCAAATATTTATTGTAAATAAATAAATTTAATTACTGTTATATATATTCTGTTATAATAAAATATTTGAATTTATATTGTTATATTGTACTTTTGTATTTAATTTTTTAGAGCAAATTTTAAATATTATCGAATTTTTTTCTTAATCTTTGAAATTTAAAAAAAAAACTTATTGAGAAAATTTTCATTATCAAAATTTTGGAAGTGAAATATCGGACTTGGCACAAAAAAAATTTCTTTTTGGTTTTTTTTTTTTTTTTTGTAAATAAAATATTTTTAAACTAATTTTTCCCGATTTATTTATTTTTCCACGTTTAACTTCAAAGACCGGTTGCGTTAGACTGATGATACAATTTCAAATAGAATGAAACATAAAAAGGAAAAATCTCGTGCGAACACAAAAAAAAAATTATTTTCTTTTATATTTGTTTTTCATTTATAATCTTTGAAAAAATGAAATTATGAAAAGCTTTTCCAAAAACAAGAAAATATTAAAAGCTTTTCGATATTACTTTTTCCCCTTAATTTCCTTCTTTTTGCAAATATATAGAATTTCATGTATATAATATTATTTACATATATATACATATGTTTTAAAATTGCATATAATATTATTATTGATAGTAATTTGATGAACAAGCAAATGAACTTATTCAAATATCGATATATTTACTATACATGCACGTCTATAACGGTAAGGAACAATGATGTTCGAATCAGTTTTCGAAAAACATATATTATACTCTCTTTATCTCTCTCTGCTCCTTTAATGTCAAAACTTCTTATTGAAGAGGAATTGAAAAAAATGTGAAACAAGAAAAGGAGTAGAAAGTTTTCATTATTCTGTTATACATATTTATTTTCATAGTTATATTGTATTCGTATAACAGAATAAATAATAAAAATAAAAACAGAAAGAGAAGTAAAATAATCAAAACAAAAAAGAAAATTTCGTAAAAATAAAAACAAAAATCGAAAATATTTTTCAAATCAATGACGTCATATATGTGTTTTGAATGTAAATGAATACATGTGAACATTAATGAACATAGTATATAGAGGAACATAATTATTATGAATAAAATGTAAACGTCAGATATGCACATACATATTACATGTTATAAATTAATTTAATACGTGTACACTGAAAAAAATTATAGCTATATAATTTCTATTATAAATGAATATATTATGTACAATAATTTCATTTTTATTATTATATGAGAATTATTTTAGAATGCACGTGTTGTAATATTGAAAATATAATAATTTTATTGTTGATTATACGGTAAAGAATAATTTTCATTAAAACACAATTCATAAAAAATTGGATTAATTGCATTCTCTTAATAAACTGAGCATTAAATAAAATTTTCGTTTCAATTATGCAAAACACTTTGTTTTAGTTATTCTTAGCCCAACCACTCTAAATGAAAGATCAGTTGATGAGAAGTAATTATAGATATTTATTCCATTCAAACAAATGGCGTCATTATCTTTACGATGAAATTGTCAAATTTTTGTTTTTAAAGTTTATGAATTCTAATTTGTACTATACTCTTAGTGTGTATATAGTAAATTTTAACAACATTCATAGTCGGTATAACCAATTATAAATTTTTATCTATTTTTTATAGTTCTAAATTTTGTATTAAAACACAGCATGGCGTATAAGCTTCATTCTCAAATACAAATAATAAACAAATTTATATCTAAATATATCTAATCATATACGAACATATATACCATATAAATATATAGGTACCACTTGAGTATGTCATATATAATTTTACAACATTGTGTGAGGTAAAAATAAACAATTTTCTTTCCGTTATGTCTTTAATTTTCAAGTATATATATTTTTTTTTCAGAGATTCTTTTCAATTTACACTTAATATATGTATGAAAGAGCGGGAGTACAAAATATTATATGTTAAGCTAGAGTAATTAAGTTTTTGTTTACAATTTATTTTTGTTGTAATTACATACATTAATGTATGAAATAATATACATAATATGTATATGTATGCACTTGAAAGAAAAATAAACTAAAGGCATAAAGAGTGAAAATTGCAAAAAATTAAAGGAGACAACAACGATACTAACAAACGTGAAATTTATGTACGATAAAAAGACTTGTATTTTTTACTTTTCTTTCTTGTTTATATAAGAAGCAATGAAAAGAACTTATAATAGAATATTATTTTCATACATGTACATATACATATACATTAT